GCTTATACTTTTCAGAGGTCCGACATTGTTCTATGTACAATCCTTGTTTTATTGATTGCATGTAATATTCTAATTTTCTGAGATTGTGGATTTGGGGTTTTCATGAGCTGTAAGCCATTATCATCACAATTATGACACATCACGGCTTGAACTATCTTGCTTTGCATGTAATGAGTCTATCTCATATATTAGTTTCACCTTTTAAGTTGCATTACTGAAATAAATGAACTTTTGCATGATATTCTAATTTTTCGAGTTTCACCTGTATAATATGGTTAGTCTGTTGTGACAAGGCAGTTTGTGACTCAGCAAGACATTAGATGAGGAAGCTGAATGTCTTGGAATCTATTGCCACTATGGGATTCCCTTCTTCACCTGCAAAGGTATTATATTATGTTTTTTTTAATGTACAACTTGAAACAAGTAATTACCACATAAATGAAAAGATAAAGGAAATCAAATATGAATTATATAACTAGTTGACAAATTAATTGTAAAATCATAGGAGTATTGCATTTGTAATAAGCCTTTCCTTGCTGAGCACAGTATCAACATTAGAAAAATGAGTAATTCAGTAATATTCAATTCTGGTATTCTTTTCAAATATAGCTATTCAATGTTAATAGTGATACCTATGCCCAAATCAGTATTATATTGGCATATGTTAAGTCGTTATTACATTTTATTTTAAAAACTTGACATTTGGAAAGGGATCTTCTTTTGTATCTGATAAAGACAACATAGGAAAAAGAATTCAAAATTACTGCACCAGAAGTGATGTTGTTCAGGTTACTTAAAAACTCAGACACAATAGAGAATATAGTACAGTACTTAAGAACATATCTGAAATTTATTGCTATTCATTGGCAAAGAATTAGAAAAATAAACAAATTCTAGGGCAGAAAAGGATATTGTATATGAATAATGCCACTCTTATTTATTTTTTCAAGTCAAAATTAACAACAAAATCTAGATATAGAAACTAAACATTTGTTATACATTTAAAGTTTTAACCATGGTTTTTAACTAGAATCAAAGATTGTGTTTGCATTTTTTGCTGTCTTTTGCATACTATATCAATTTCTATGTATTTAGGCTTTTAACAAAGAAATGAAATGCCTCTTTCAAGAATTTCAGTTCTCTAAATACAGCTTCCTTCCCTAAATCTTACTGCTATATGTCTACCTGTTTCAAGTAGTGGAAACTCTGCTGGAAAATCTACCCCTGAACAGCATGACTGTAATAGTGAAGTTAAATTAGAAAAATACCTCTAATTGCTTGAAAGTTTGAGGTCAACACAAACACTTTAATGAGCTTGAGACACAAATCAGTGTAGTCATGCTCCCAAATAACTGCTGGAATCAGTAGAAGTTTTCCATAGCTGGATAACAGCAATGCTTTCAGAAGAAATACAAAATCTGCCTTGGTTTTCAGGACAGCAGATTTTACTAACCACAGAGCAGTGAAGATGCCAGTCAAAAAGGCAGTTTGTTCTGTATGAGTAGAAAAAAAAATCATTCAGGGAAAAGAGGTGATATCATAAAAAGTTCCTTAATTAAATAGCTATATAGTATTTTAGTACATCTTACACACATGCATTTTTAAATTTTCTTTTGGAAGGCATGCATTTGGTTTGGATTAGGCCTAAGAACTTGTAATTTACATATTGTAGTTTCAAGCCACTTTAACATGTGAACTGTCCAACCCTAACTAGTAAAGCTTCACTGGCCAATTTTAGATTGACAGAAGCTAGCTGAAAGGTCAGGGCTGCCATATCCAGGCTGTAAAAATCTGACAGCCACTAGATGTCAACAATATGTAATAGCTTTCTATATCTCTTTCTTGCCATCTATTGATTGTTGCAGCCCAGATATAGTAGCACAAAGAAAAATGGGTTCTCTCGCTGTTACAGCAATTATTATATTTATTAATGTTGTTGTATTATTGATATTCAAAATATCTCCTAGCAGTATATACAGTATACAAAGAAATAAATACTAAAAACTTCAAAGCAGCATCAATATATACATTACTATAATATACATTACCATGAGCCAGGGTGGCACAGTGGTTAGAATGCAGTACTGCAGACTACTTCTGCTGACTACCGGCTGCCTGCAATTTGGCAATTCGAATCTCACCAGGCTCAAGGTTGACTCAGCCTTTCATCCTTCTGAGGTAGGTAAAATGAGGACCCAAATTGTTGGGGCAATATGCTGACTCTATAAATCGCTTAGAGAGGGCTATGAAAGCATTGTGAAGCAGTATATAAATCTAAGTGCTATTGCTACTGTAGAACTAATCAGTAGTTAATCATATATACGTACGTGCGTATAGACACACACACACACACACAATTCTGAATACCATTAGAATTATATATCAGATTATTTGATTTTTATGAATTGAAATAATTGTATTTTACACAAATATAATTTCCAGTTTTGAAGAATCTGAGATAAGTATTTTTTTTTTAAAAAAAAAGCCATGGGATTTAGGCTTGAACAGGCATTTGCCCTTGGGTCTCCTAGGCCCTTTCTAGACACTATCTCCTGGAAAATATTTGCATTCATACATGTAATACAACGTATCTATACATATGCTTTTTCATGGTATGCTGCAATCTTTTAAATGTCAGATATCTTCTAGCCAAATTCAGTGAAAAGAAGAGAAATACTGGCTACCTGAATATATGTCACAAACACATATTAAGAATTTTAGTGCACTTGAAGCAACTGTCAATGTTTAAATGCTGCTGTTTAAAAGAACAGAAACAATATTTGCCCGCAACAAATATTTGATCTTACCCAAAGATGCTATTCCAAACATTCGATAGAAATCCCATTCCTTGGCATATCTAATGAAATCATCGGGATCAGTACTTTGACTTGAATCCTGTAACTGCAGCCACCTGAGATAAGCTTCGCAAAGTAAACAAAATATGCAAAGCTTTCCATGAATCTGCAGTAGGAAAGAATATTAATGTCAAATGCCAATACTGTACAATCAAAACATTGATAAGCCTGGTAGGATTATCATGTCTTACTAATACAGTTAAGAAAGCCTGTACAGGTCATTTGAGCTCATCCACTGAAGAACAGCTAACCAAGCTATGGGACATGCTTGGAAGTCTTGAATGACTTCATATATTAGAAATTAATCTGATACAGAATTCAGCTCAGACTGGGATCTAGTCCTAGACTCCAACTTAATTCATGGATTTGTACCAGATCCAAATTTTACATATACAGCCTATATTTCAATTTTATATAACTATAAAAATCTACATGTAAAGCCTACATTTCAGGGCATAGAAATTGATGGTGTTAAACATCATATTGTGAAGTATTAATACATATTAGATATCAGACACAAAATGGAAACAAGCACTAAGTTGACTTCCAATTAACTATGATATAATCGTTCAGACAGCCCAGGTAGATAAAAAGAATTGAAAGAGTAGAAGCAACAATAACAGATGCCAGAGGAGTGGCTGATAGTTGTAGGCCAAAAGATCATTCAAGGCAGGAATCAGGAAGTTCCAGTTAAAACGATTTGTCCACTAAACAACAGCATTGAACTGCAATGTATAGATAGACTTCCAGAAAACATAGATGTTATTAATTCTCTCTGTGTATTATATAGTTATCCAAAGCCATGCTGTTTAATAGTGGCTATAGTTGTCCAGTACATCTCCAAAGTGTCCTTTATTTTGACCAATTCCTCAATTAGGATTTTTAAACTTTTAAAAGTTAAATCCAATATTGCAATTTTTAGCATAGAAAGCCAATTAAAGTTAATATTGCCAGGTCCAAAACAAATTAGCTTTTTCATTAGCTTGGAGCAAGATTGACAGATCCTAGGGCAAATTAAGACAAGAAGCAGATACAACAGAAACTTACATTTATTTTTGTATTGAACAAGATATGTCTGTACGCTTGTGCTTTGCATAAGATAGCATTAATTAAGACGATGACAAGGTCATATTCTATATATTTGTCCACTGGCTTCTGGCAGGATTTCTGAAGGTAACAAAGGAAAAGCAATGTAATATTTGCAGTAACTTTACAGAAAAGAAACACTTATTAAAAACTCTTAAGAACTTTTAAAGTTCTCTTATGAATCAAGAGTTATCAAGGATATTATTTTAAGTTTTATACTGTAGTTTTCACAAAGTAATATTTCTGTCACAACAGTAAAAGAAAGTAATATTTTCATTTTTACCCAGTATTAAGTTTAGCAAGTGTAAAGAGAAATGATTTGAAGAAATAATCAAACAATTTAAACAGAGATAAGTAATAGTCACATTTTTAGCACAATATAAAAATGTTTAAATAGCAGGTTGTGATTAGGGAAAAAAAGAACATAAAAGAAAAAATGAAAAAGGCAAGGATATTTTGATGTTTTTTCTTACAGGCACATTTTTTCTTTTTTGCTCTTTTAAAAATTATTTTATTATTTTTAACCACTATGTTAAATCTCAGTTTTTGAATTCTTACTCCAATCCTCACGCCAGTGTAGTTAATGCACTGTAGTAGTAATAATATTTTTTAAAGATAAATAACATAGATGTATGTATTCTATTCTCCCTCTACTTTTTACTGTTTTGTTTTTCCTGATGCTTTTATTTCATTAATAAAAATCAAAATTATGTTTAAAAAAATTAGCCAGGGTTCAGACATACAACCAATGCAAAAAGTTAAGATTAAAAATATGCATTCATTTGTGAAGAACTTTTCACTTGTATCAAAATACATATATATGGATTTGAAAATGCAAAGCTAAATTTATGGTTTGTTTACAAGATACTCTATGAGATCATAAAAACATGATCTGGTCTTTCAACACAGGAAATACAAATGCATTCCAGACATACACCAGTCATAGATCATGGGGAGCAGGGGGCAGTTTGCATGCTGCAGCAGTGGAAGAGACAACTTTAACACTGGGGATTATTAGGAAATGCAGAGCAAATCTGATTTTGCCATGATATGTCTATTGCACAATTACATATTGTTGAACTGTTCATTATATTTATCTTAAAAATAATGCAGAGCTGAAAAACATAAGGATTTAAAAAAGGACAAATCACCTTTTGGTGGTTGGGGGCTACATTTTAATATTTAGGGGAACTTTAAGGCATGCAGAGAGCAGGGTGATTAGAATTTAGTTGTTTGTTACATTTGCTGGAACTATATCATGGTATATTTACTTGATTTTTTTTTATACAGTACTAACATATGCTTTATTCAAGATATGAGACTGTGTTCACCAACTTCCAGAAAAAACACAGAAACACTTCTAATCCATAGAATATATTTGATCAAGGAAAAGGATGGTATCTCATATTTTGATTGGCATCATAATTACATAAATATACATTTCAACTGCTATTTGATGCAAGTGAATATTAACTGCTAAGTTTGATTTCATTCTTGCTATAAAACTTCTTAGATAAAATCTATATATTTAAATAAGGAAATACCACTCACGTATAATCACAAAATCTCCAGAACCGTAAAGCCTACAAACTTGAAATTTGGCACGTATGTTCCACTAAGAAAGGATTTTTCAAAATGACCATCAGAGCATTAGTATTTCATATATTATTATTAACATGCTCTGATGCTAAGGAGCTCTACTCCTCTTCCCCACCTGAAAAGAAATCTGTTCCAAATGCAAAACACAAGCAGGAGAGGAATTTCAGTTTCAGAGCAGCAAGCAGCTGTAGTACAGAACAGTTGACCTAAGCCGCGCCCAGGCTCCTTGCTGTCTCCTTACTCACACAGCAAATACTGTTTCAGTTTCCAAGCAGCCCTCAACTCTCTCACACACTGACAGGACGCTAGCCAGATGAATACCACTGGATGCTGACAGGCAGAGGTAGTTCCCCCTCCCCTTATGTTCCTCCCCAAAAACTAAGCACAATCACATAGTTTCGTAGCGAAGCACGGGTATCCAGCTAGTAAAATATAGTGGAGATTATAACCAAGAACCTCCATTTTAGTTTTTACATTAACAAAAATATGTTTTATTAGGTTTGAAATAATAAACCTGCTATAGAAGGTTGACATTGGAAAGAAACCTCTTATATTGACTCTTCCCACTACAGAGCTATGGTATCCAGTTCTTCTATTAGTTATACTAGCTGTCAGTTGCCATTATTGTGGAAACTACATTTTTTGTTTTGAAACAGAAAGTGTTTCATGAGGGAAGTGAAGCATCTTTAAGCATCTTACTTAAATGATATTTTCCTTTCTCCCCAAAAACTTATTTCAAAAAATAAAGGAGGCTGAAGGATAATGGCTGTGCTGAATTGAACTGTAGTCAACGGGAGAAAATAGCAGAAGTAGAAAAGAACAACCCTGTGCCAGGGAATCTCCATTATTTCCTTTTGCTCAATTACGGGCCTTTCATTCCCTTGAATTTCAATTCCATGTGACATAGCCCATGACAGGCCTCCTCACTTTTTTGTGGCCTCTGGGCACATTTGGATTTCTGAGAACATGTCATACTCTCTCCTCATGAGACCTAATTTTCAGTCACCTAATTTTCCTCTTCCTTTTTTATGTACTCTATTTTCTCTTTAACAGTTTGGTGCCCAAAAATGAAAATTATAGTAAATGGTTAATTCTGAGATCTGGAAACCACACTTCTGCCAATGCACAGTTACGTTATATTTGCCCATTTATCATTTTGACTGCTGACTTATGTTCTAGTTATCATCGATTCCAGGATAAGTTTCATATATACTATTACTAGTTCACATATATAGCAATGCTTAAGTTTGAGAATCATTTTGAATTTTCAATGTTACTGCATTAATAAAATTAGATAAAAAATAGATCAATAAAACCTGATCTATTCTCCAGTTACAACTCCTAAAACTAGATAAACAGAACCCAATCAAACAATTAAGTCAAAAACATTATACTAGTTCATTTATTTATTGAGGCAAATGATCCAAAACTTCATATTTGTGTGTGCCAAAAGTATATGAACTATGGCTTTCAGTAATTGGTGTGCCCTTCTTGGGCAGCAATAACTGCATCAAAATATTTCCAATAACTGCACATCAGCTTGGAAAAGGTTTAGCCCATTTCTCTGTACAGAACTGCTGTAAGAGATATTGGTGGGTTTCCTCACATGAACTTCCACTTCAGGTACTTCCGCATTTCTTTAGGATCAAGGATTAAGATTAATTTAGGATTTTGACTTGGCCATTTAAAAACATGAAGTTTCTTTTGCTTTAACCATTTTTTGGTTATACAGCTTGTATGTTTTGGGTCAATGTGTTGCTGCATGACCCACTTTCCCTTGAGCTTTAGTTCATGGACTCTGACATTTTCCTGTAAAATTTGCTGATATAATTCAAAAGTTATCCTGGTCCAGGTGCCACTGCCACCCTCATGTTTCAGATAGGATCCTGGAATATAGTGTTTGTCTTTTACCGAACATAATGCTTTTCATTCAAACCAAAAAGTTCTATTTTGGTCTCATCTATCCACAAAACTTGTATCTCTCACAAAATGTAGATGGGCAGCAATGTTCTTTTTAGAGAATAGTGGCTTTCTTCTTGCAACTCTGCCATGGGCACCATTGTTATTCAGAGTTTTCCAGGTGGTTGTGCCATGAACACTGACAATGGCCAATGCAAGAGAGCCTTTAGTAAATATAGACATTATCCTGGTTTTTTTTAAAGCGTTCCCAGAGTATTATGTAACTTGCTTTTGGGGTGATCTCGGTTGGTCAACCAAGCCTAGAAAAGGTAAACATGAGGTTGAATTGCCTCCATTTGTACATGATCTGCTTGACTAATGGAATCTGAACTCTTTGAAAATAGTCCTGTAATCTTTTCCAGCCTGCTGAGCATCAGCAACTGCTTTTCAAAAGTTCTCAGAAATCTCATTTTATTCAAGCACACATTTTCACACAAAGTGAGTTGTAAAGATCAGACTTCCGTTATTTAATAAGGCACAACTTGCCACACTCACACTTGATTATCATCCCATTGATTGAAATACTTGACTCCAGTTTACCCTTCAAATGATAAGCCTAGAGGTTCACATTCTGTTGTCATAAATAAATTTGTAGCTTTGAATAATTTTCCTCAACGAATAAATGAACAAATACGTTTTCAATTCTTTTATTTAATTGGGTTCTCTTCACCTAATTCTAGGAACAGATCATGTTTTAGAACATACAGCATTTGTGCAGAAATATTGGAAATTCAAAAGGGTTTACTAACTTTTAAGCACAACTGTATTGTTACCAAGCAGGTATCTTCCATCATATCTGTTCATTCAATTTTACTGAAACATATATTTGCATTTGAATTCAATTAGACACTAAAGACAGCTATAAAAAAGTTTTTAAAAACATCTATAGTCATAAAAAGCCAGCTGAATTCAAAGTAACTAAATAATGCTGGAATGGATTGGACTAGAAATAAAGTAATTGAGAAAACCAGATAGACAGGAGTTTGATGAGCATGACAGCAATATCAGAGAGATGAAACATGGAAATGTTTAATCAAATATTGTGTGAAATCTATTAAGGAACATATTGTTTTAACAATGTGATAAACGATATACAGAGTTCTCAAAAGAAGAAACCCCCACAGCACATTTGGAAAATAATAAATCATATCCATGTTAGGCTCAGTGTATTTTCTACCACTACAGTTTCACATCCCATAATATATTTTACCACGTAACAGGACATCTAGGTTAAACAAGATTATGTTGAGTATCCCCTACATGTTTCAGAGACACAAACACTAGCCTTGCTTTCGGATGGGGAATTGTCTGAACAAACGTCTTGCAAGTTTAGGGTTGGATCGCTAGAAGCCAAGGTTTTCCAAATTGTGAGATGTACCTCCTCTTTTGGGGCAGTACAAAGTCCGGGTATGAAGAATCTTTTAGTTACATTGTTAAAATAATTCCAACTTTCTCACAGTTCCATTGTATTATTGTCATTGTTCATTTGTGTTCATTTTGGTGTTTTGGATTTTTAGGGGACGTGTGTACATTAAGATAAAGGGAGGTGCGACGACAAAAAAAATTAGGAACCCCTAACTTAAAAAAGCTTTCAAATATCTCCAGGCTGTAAAGGACTTCATGTTGAACAGAAATAAAACCTCACTATAAATAAGATTTATAATTAGCACTAAACCTAAAGGTAAAACTTCAAAATTCAGAGAGGACGTCGATACTCTTCCCGTCAAGGATTACGCTAAGAATTCGAAGATCCTCTTGGATCCGGGAACTAATATTGAATAACTACCATAATATCAATGCAAGGTGGATCTATCAATTCGAAATTCCTGCTTCTTCACATAACTCACGCAGATAGAGATCCGCAACACACCACGTTGGTAATCCTTGTACAGCTCACTCGCTTTTGTACTGCATTCAATACACCGGTAACATGCAGACTCCTCCATTTTCCCAGAGGAAAACAAACCCAGAAAAAACACTTGCGAAGGGTGCTTTACTTCGTTCCCTTCCGCATTCCGCTCGCAGAGCCGAAAACCTTGCCGGAGCATCTCGGTATTCGTAGTTTTGCACTCCATACCCAGCGCAGTAGAATTCAGGGCATAGAACTACAATTCCCAGAAAGGAACTCGTTCGCCCGCTAGTTGCCCGGGGCTCTGATGGAGGGAAACGCGAAAAAGGTAGATTAATCTGCGCAGGCGTGGTAGGAAGATGGCACCCGCTTGCGGCAGTCGGGGCTCGTGGCCGAGCGTTTCAGCGGTGCTGAAGTTCTTTTGGGCGCTGCTGGCGGTTATCCGGCCGTTGCTGGTTCTGACTGAGCAGTACCCTTCGTTGTCTCTGCGCCACCAGCAAGGGAGCAGTTGCTGCCCGGGGGTTTGGGAGGCTGACTGGGATGGGGATCAGCAATACGCGGCAATTGCCGGAGACGGTGGTGAGTAACGAGGAGAAAGAAGGAGCCGGAGGGACCGGGCAGTAGGATGACCTGGGCCGGTTTCGACGGCAAGAACGGCGAGTCCATAGTGGAGTGCATCGTTTCACCCAAAGATTCAGCAAGTCAGGGAATGACTTCCATCAATGTTTTTCAAAGGTGTTAATTTTATGGTGTGTGCACTTCAACTCCCAGAATTCTCTTGCTGGCTGGGGAATCCTGGAAGTTGAAGTCTACACATCTTAAAATTGCCAAGTTTGGAAAACTGCTCTGAAGCTTAATGTCTGAAGAAGGGCTGGAATCCAACAGGAGCTTGGAGACGGTTGAACAAGTTGTGCTTCTAGGCTAAGGGCTGAAACAGTGGTGGAGTTCAATTTTTTTTACTATCGGTTCTGTGGGCGTGACTTATTTGGTGGGTGTGGCTTGTGGTCATGTGACGGTGGGCGTGCTTGCTCATGTGACAGTGGGTGTGCTTGGTGGTCATGTGACGCAAAGTCTTATCTTTTTTTTTCTTTCTCTACACACACACACACACACACACACACACACACACACACACACAGCACTTAACAGACAAGCATTTTGAAAGCAGCTCCTTTAAATTTCTCCAAGGCTTGAGTGGATTCCTCCACCCCCTCTGTCAGACCGCACTCTTTCTCACTCCCAACACTAACTGACACGGGGAAAGCGATACTTGCAGCGTCCATGCCTTTCTTCTTTTTCCCCGGGGAGAAAGAGGACGTGGGGAACGGAAAGCTAGGAGAGCGATCGAAAGTGAGCGACTGGGCGACCGGGTTGGGGGCGTGACCAGCCAAGGATTGCCACCGGTTCAGTGACCCATGCCAAATAACTGCTATCAGTTCGCCCGAGTAGGTGCGAACCGGTTGAATACCACCTCTGGGCTGAAATGCCATCTTGTCCGGTAAAGGAATTGCACCCTTGTAAGGATGAGGTGGCTAGTTGTAGGGCATTGGCAGATAAACAGGGTTGTACCCGTGTGGACAATTTTAGGCAAGCCAGTTAATGGATTTTGCTATCTGGGTCACTTGTGTGGCATGAATTTTAGTTAGTAGGCTTGATGAAGACAGGATAGTTAAATTTGGCTTGACTGTAGCCCTTCCTTGGGAGAGCAAAGAGAGGTGATTGGCTGTGGGGTCTATAAGAAGTCAGAAATACCTTTTTGAAAGAAATGGTGGTAGTAACTTCTTCAAAAGAGATGATTAGGCTACCATGATGAAACCTTACCTAAATTGGGAAGATTAAAAACATTTGTAGGCTGGCTGCTAATGCCACCTTTTGTAGTGTGGTACTTGAACTGATCATTTCAAGAATGATTTTCTTTACTTTGGCTGCAGGCCTGCCTTGGCAGATACCACCTTAAATGCCATCTTGATAAAGCAAGTCCAGTTCTGTTAGTTGTTTGGGATCCCTCAATATATTTTCATATTGGTGATGACACCCTTCTGGACCAATTCAAAATACTATGTTTGACTTAAAAAACTGCTTAATAGTTTTGATCAGGTTTATCTGAAGGAAAATTATTATTTTTGTTTGTTTGTTTATTTACTAGGCTCCTACGATTCTTCCCTAGGCCCTTCACTAGCTATTCTAGACCAGTGAGGTATGAGAAATTGTGAAGCGGTTGAGAAACAAATGGGAGGAACTCTAGACATAACATTCAACAAATGGATAAGGGAACTTGTTAGTAGCTTATTTCATAAATGGCAGCTCAGTCCAGATTGCAAATGAGATGCAAAATATTTAAAGAGACTACACCTCAGTGAATTCATTAATATAGGAGAGGGCTGGAGATTGAAGCCTATGTGATGTTTTCCTACTTCATTGTGCCCTTCAGCACGGAACTAGACTGGTGGTAGTGGCATGTTATTCTTTTATGAATAATAATAGAAGAACCAGAGATGTTTATCAGAAGAAAAATGTATTTTGTTAGGTGTGGTGAACAAATGAGGGAGAACAGAAAACAGTGATCAGACTATTCAGTGACTCTAGAATAAATTAAAATGAGTGAGAATCACTTAGAAAAACTTTGTTCTGAATACTGTATGTGATTTAAGCATATGTTTATTCATATATATACATGGCAAAAGACTGGATATAAAGTTAAAGGATAATTGATTATGATGAAAGAGATAATTTATGAGGGACACAATAATTGGTTCTGAATATGTGAAAGAGCATTTCATAGTGTTGAGTGAATCTTTGGAAGAAAAGGAAAATAATGAAAAAGCCAAGAATAAAAGTGGAACAACTGCAGGAAAAGAAAGTGGGGCCTTTATGAAAAAGTATTACTAGATTACTCTTCCCAAAAGACTGAAATGGACTTAAAAGAGAATGTGGAAGTTGGAGCAGCAAACAGAATTATGGTTAAAGGCAGCTGCAGAAGTGTCTGGAATTTCAATGTAATTGGATGTATGAAATACAATAATTGGAAGTATAAAGTGGAGAAGGCTATGAAAGGAAAACATTCATGTAAGATTAAAAAAGGTAAAGGTTTCCCCTGCTCAGCCATGTCCTAGCTGAAGGAGCATTGTCTGAAGATGCTTCCATGGTTATGTAGCTACATCTCTCTCTCTCTCTGTGTATATGTATATATGTATATATGTATATATGTATATATGTATATATGTATATATGTATATATGTATATATGTATTCAGCTTTGTTCGGGTATTTTCCCACGTCATTATAGTTGTGCTTTTAAAGTTGTAGCAACATTTCGGCAGAATCTCATCTGCCATCATCAGGCTTCTGTATAGTATATACAGGCTTCTGTATAGTATATACAGGCTTCTGATGATGGCAGATGAGATTCTGCCGAAACGTTGCTACAACTTTAAAAGCACAACTATAATGACGTGGGAAAATACCCGAACAAAGCTGAATACCATACATGTAAGTACCCACGAAAACTTAAGAAAACATATATGTATGTATATATATACACACATATACATACACATATACATACACATACACACACACACACACACACACACATATATGTTTTCATAGATTTTTACAGGTACAGGTAGGTCTTGGCATGTTCGGGTTTTTTCCTGTGCAAGATTGAGAGCATCTTGGCAACATTTGGCTGAATGCACCAGCATGAAGATGGCGAGTGGGACCTCATCGAAACGTTGCCAAGATGCTCTCAGTTTTACACGGGAAAAGACCCGAACATGCCAAGACCTACACACACACACACACACACATATACACTGAGGCGCACAAATGCTGTTACCTTCCAATCTTCCCACCAAATTGGTATCTACAGTATTTATATGCATTTGCATGCCTTTGAGTGGCAGGAGCTGGGACAAGAATGGGAACTCACTTTGTGTTTGGGTATCGAACTGCCAACCTTCTTGTTGACAGCCCAGCATCTTAACTAGTAGGCCACCATGACCCCTCATATAAGATTAGATTGCAGCAAAAATGAGGATGAAAAAGTATTTTGAATAATGTATATGAAAGAGTTGCAAAGAACATGGTCAATTATGATTAAAAGAAACGGAGGAAATCCATATCATGATGGAGATAGAAGTATTTTGAAGTATGTTAAGAGGAGTGGGGAGTGATTTGGAATAAAAATTAACTGAGTGATTATTGAAATGACTATTTTAAAGATCTGTTTGAGGGCAATCGTAAGTTTGTTCTTTTATGGAGCCAATCTATTGTGATAAACTAGCAATTAAGGTGTTATTCGGTATTGGAACAATTGGTATTGAAATGCTCTTTCTGTGTCTAAATAGCACTACTCTAGTTAACTTGCCCTTAATGTTGTACGGTGAATGTACCAATTAACAGTTCAACATTTCCATTTTAGATTCATCAATTTTGCACTTTCATGATTCAGACTGTGAACTACAAGGGTCTTCATCTTGCGAACCTCTGCTTTCTTGTACAACAGAAAAACTTTTGGTAAGTGTATTCATTGTGTTCAGGATAAAGAATCCTGAAAACAATTTGCAGTATAACTTCCGTGGAATTGTTCCATAACTTTTGCTTGAAGTTGTTAATTTAATGCATAAAACATTTTTTTCAGAGCCAAGCAAAAATACTTGCCAAAGGGAAAAAAATTCCATTTGCTACAGATGATGACTATACAAATGAAGAATTAGGTAAGAGGCAATATGAGTATTTTCTAAATTAGTTTCATTTTGTAAGTGAACTGAGCAACAAGGAACACGCCCCCTAGATCACAATGTCTAAAGGTGTGATTTATTTGTTAAAGAGTAGCATGATCTAAAGCTGGTAGTGAAATATTTCTCTTTATCCCTTTCTACATGTGTTCATATTCACAAATTCTTTTTTATCAATATTCTGTTTTGTGTTAAATGGTGTGATTTTCACGCCCATATGGAATTACCTGAATTGTAGATTCAGATGGAATGGCTCCTTTGGAGATGAAATAGCCCAGTGGTTTAACTCAGAGGAAGGAAGTGCATACTATTTAACCCCCTGTAACTTTGGGGCACACACAGACCCAACTATCTCAGAAAGCAGCAAGATATTTGATGGGTAT